ACCACTAATTGCATTAGCACACTAAGCTGGATACTAGAGAAGCCTGAGAGAGTCTTCTCAGTAGCCATCTACAGGAGCCTCCCGCTCATTTGATTGTAGGCGAAGCATAGAGAGAAGGTAGCCTCAGTAGGGAAAAGTTGGCTTTTTGTCACATTCTGTAATATAAAAATCAAATCACAAGGCTGTAATGGTCCTTCTCATCCCTAAAAGCAACAGGGCACAGTTCATAAGCTACTGTCCAGGTAGTGGGTTTATGCCCGAGTAGGATCTCACCCTGTAGGACAGTACAGTAGGGAGTTGGGGCAAGTGGTTTCGGAGAGTTCCCTCGTAAGCTGCAGTCACTGTGCAGTGTTCCCGCAAGTTATGTGGCGTGAAGGTGACTTTGCCGGGAGCTGCAGCCTGTGAGTAATGTGTTCTGAATGCTTGCTCGCTTTCCAGACAAAGCGAGGTGTTACATCCTGCAGCAGCCAGGCACGAACGCAAATAATGAAGTGAGGCTGACCAGGTCTTTGTTGATTCCCCCCACACCCCAAAAAACCAAATGCTCAGAGAAATTATTTTGCTGCTTTGACTGTACCAAGCAGCCAATGAAGTATGCTGAGGGAAGAAAACAAAACTCCTGTCTGGACTTTCTCTGATACATTTTTTCATCCAAAAATGTTGCATGCCCATGGGCTGGTGGTCGCTCATGTGGCTGCACTGTTTCCTGAGCCAGTAGACAGGCCAGAGAGACCATAAACTGACACATCATATAACCTTGATGAGTCAGAGAATTCCTGTCTTGGCTGGTGTCAGTGTTAATTCTGCCCTTGACTTGAAAAAAAAGCATGAGCAGGCTGTTTTGGTTTGTCAAAAGAAATTCCCTAAATACAGTACTTCTGCAATGAGTTGATTCACGACATGCTCTGCATGTCAATAACTTACCAATGAGTGGCTTGGGCACAACTTGAATAGGCAAGATGCACACCTGGTTCTAACATGCCTTTTAGCTCTGTAAAGGTTCAAAGATGCTGGGTCTTTAAAGAACAGGATTGACCCATCATTACCTGGAATACAGGTGGAAATAAATGAAGTGCAGAATGGTGATTGCAGAATTTGAAGATCATTGGTATTTAAATGACTTTTAAGGGTCAGATGTGATGCCATATCAGAGCAGCTAAACACCAACACTTGATCACAGTGTGCTTTCACTGCCTGTGTGAAGAAGAACTTACAGCTGGCTATAGCTTGGGCTGCTCATTCCTTATCTGCTAGTTGGCATTTGAACATCTAGCTTTCTGGGGGGATGCTAAAGCATTCTTGGCTACTCTCTTATGCTAGATGACCAAGGAAATAATGGAGTATGCACAAGGAAGATACTAAAATTCTATGTTCACCTTCAGAGACCAGACCTTTGAAGCCACAAAATAATGTAATATGAGGACTTGTGCTGTTTCCATTAGCTTATATTTATTTATCCACTCAGTTCTGATTTTGCTGTTCTTCTTCACCCTCCTGCTCTTTCCTCCACACTGTATTTAACCTCCTCTTCCTTCAGAACCTCTCTTTTCTGCCATGACCCAAAGAAAGAAAGTTGCTCTATGAGCACAGAACAAGTCGGTGCCAGAGTAAGAGAGTAAGCCCAGAGTGCTCTGAGCTTAAGACCTATCTTGACAAAGTAGAGGAATAGCTGGTCTCATCAAAGCCTCTTCCTTTTTTTCCCCCCCTTTTTTTTCTTTTTCTTTTTTTCATTTCTTTTTTCCCAAATGGCAAACACTGTGAAGAAGACCTGAAACAAGTGCTTTGCCGTATGCAGGCGAATTCATAGCATCATAGAATACCAGGTTGGAAGGGACCTCAAAGATCATCTGGTCCAACCAATTAAAACCCTGTTTGCTCTATGGTTTCCATGCTCCAACAGGCATTTCTGATGACAGCCTCTTATATATGGGGTCTTTCAGCTGTGGTTTTTGCTTGTCATCAGATATTTTAATGTTAAAAAAGATTGTATAGGAACAAAGCCATAAGGTGGAGGTTTCCAAGTTACTTGTGTTTTGAGTAATGTAAGCAGTTCCCAAGTTCAGACCCTTTCATGGTGCTGGGGTGCGAGGTTTTCCGTTTGATGCAGATGGCTCTTGTCAACAGAGTCTTTTCCCTCTCTCATGGCATTTTTAGCCATATAGGCTGAGAAGATAATTTTTCTAGCTCCCAATATGACTTAAGAGTAACAAATGAAACCTGGCCATAGCTGGGGTGAATCAGAAGAGAGGTTTGAATGCACCAGGCAGGAAATGTATTCTGTGAGCTGAGACTGGCTGTGCCCACTGGGCTGGGCAAGTGCAGCTGCCCCCAAGGACACTCTGTCTGGTAGGACAGAAGCTTCCAGCAGGGCCTTGGCCCAGTGGCCTGGGAATTATATGAAAGAGCAGAGGGCAGGAGGAGCTGGGGAATTTGCCTTGTTAACATGCTGACTGGAAGCTGAAGGCTGGTACCTTTCAAAGGGAAGCCTCTCCACCCTCCAGGTCCCTTTGGGAAGTTTCCTTTTATGTACCTGCAAAGGAGCCAAGTCCAGGATGCTCTATAATGTCTCCTGAGGTGCATCAGTGAAAGGTGTACATAGCCTTGCTCTTGGTACTCACAAGCGTATATACATTCATGGGTCCCTTGAATACAATCATGGCCTCTCATTCCATTTGATCTCTGTGCGTCCCCAGGTCTCCGACTCTCACCTCTGGTCTTTCCAGATCAGGTGGGTCTTCTCCTACTCAGCCAACAACACCTCTGTCCAAGGCCCCATCGTCCGCTAGTGCATCCAGGTGCTTGGGCCAGCCATAGCCCTACAGAGTTTACGTACAGAAATATTAAATGTATCATTATTTTTGTTCATTTAGTTTCTTTTTCTCTGTGACAGCAGTCATTTCTTTTTCAGTGGTAATTAGGTCTGGGCTAATAATAACAACTCAATTCTCAAGGCTTCGTTAGACTGGGTGAGGTGAGTTCCTGGCTCTGCACGGGAGAGGTGTTACTCTTGCCCATAAGAGTGATTGCTGGTGTCTCACTGAGAAGAGGACTACCTTTGCTGGTTGAGGGGCCACCGGCCTTATGCTGACTTTGCCTTGTGTTGACTTCACAAGGCTCCAGCTCTGGCCTATGGGGCTTGTTATCTGGCTGTTTTGAGAAACTACCGTGTGAAGCAGAGCTTGGTAGCAAGTGTCTCTTGCTGTTTGTCATCCCACTCTTAGATTTCCCCATCATAACAAAGGCCTTGAAAGCATGGCTGAAGACAGATGCCCCAACATCATCAAGAACGTGCTGATAGTCATTGGTCACTTCACAAGAAGCATGACCTTGAACATTGGGAAAACTGCTTCAAATATAACAGAGAAAAGAAGTAGTAACTAGGCAAGAAAAAACAGTGGAGGATCAGAGTAAGAAACCCCTGCTTAGAAAAAAAACAGCGCAGTATGCAGCTGCATCAGGGAGGGGCTGGGGGCTGAGTGCTACCTAGAAACACCAAAGGACCAAAGGTCACCAAAAGAGATGTCAAAAAGGAGAGAAGGGTGGGAAATTGTCACCATGGGAGCTCTGGTTCCAGAAGCACTGCAGGACAGTGGGAACCAGGCACATGGCCCCGGGCTCCCTGCAGGCTCCAGGGTCCAGCTCTCCCTCCCTCCACCTGCCTGCTCCTAGAGCCCCCTTGAGGGACCTGGGACCTGCCCACCGGTTGTCCTGGACTGTGTGTGCTGCTATAAGTGTGTGTGTGTTTTTCCCCACAAATTCTGCACATTTCTCCCCTCTAATGCTCTAGCGTCTCAGAAAAGCCGTATTCCAAACCAACTTAGTTTTGGGCAAGAGCAACATTTTGAATGAAGCTCCAGCAGAGTTACGGAGAATGTTCTACACTGGGGGCAGGGAGGTGAGGTGAGGTGAGAGAGAGATGATGGGGAGTGCTTTCTGGATCTCAGTAAAGAAGGCCCGAAACAAATGGCTTAATAAAATAACTGTTTTAATAAGACAGAATAAGAAGAGGAATATAGATAGCAAGTAAATTTTACATCCCTTCAGATGCCAGGT